AGAATACCTTTCAAGACTATTGACTTGAATTCAAATTATTATGCAAGTTAGTAGCAAGGGCTAGTATTAGTACTTATCACTATTTTACTACTAGTTATCCTGTTTCTTATCCTCCTTCTCCTACTCTCTTCCCTCTCCTACTGGCACTATCATCTTCCCATAAAGTAAATGGGAAAATTTATTAATAGGGCTAGATTCACAGAATTTTCATTAATCTTACCTCTCCTTTTGTCCCTTGTGAAAATTACCATAAGCAATTTGCATTCAACATAAATATTGAGTTTTATCTTTGAATAAGATTTCAATTTTATGTTGGTGCTAATAAAAAGGTAGAGAAAAAATATCTTGTAAGAGATCACATTAATATGATAGTACACTAAAAAGCTTACTTTTCCTTTTGTGTTAAAAGTATATTATAGTAAAATATATTGGGTTCTTGTGTTCCATCATAAGGAATATTATTTTATATACTGGCAGAATTCTTTTGTAACTCAAATCTAAAGTCACTTTTCAGATACAAGTAATAGAATTTATTTGTTGTAGGCAGGGCGCAGTGGCTCACGCCTGTAATCCCAGCACTCTGGGAGGCCTAGGTGGGCAGATCGTTTGAGCTCAGGAGTTCGAGACCAGCCTGAGCAAGAGTGAGACCATGTCTCTACTAAAAAAATAGAGTGAAATTAGCTGGACAACTAAAAAATATATATAAATATATATATATATGAATTAGCCAGGCAGGGTGGCACATGCCTGTAGTCCCAGCTATTCAGGAGGCTGAGGCAGGAGGATCGCCTGAGCGCACGAGTTTGAAGTTGCTGTTAGTTAGGCTGACACCATGGCACTCTAGCCTGGGCAACAGAGTGAGACTCTGTATCAAAAAAAAAAAGAATTTATTTGGTTTATATTATGTATGAACTGTACATTTTCTCTGTGCTTCTCTGGTAGGCAACTATGATGTTGAGACAAAAGTTTCCCCAGGGAGCTTTACTGAGGTATCCTATAGACTTGGCCTAAGGCAGGAAACATCTGCTCTGATAAGATAAACCATCCCTTTTATGCTCTAAGTGGTAAAACTCTGGGATCTCAGTGAGGAATGATTTAAAAGCTGGAGTGAAACAAGTAAACATTAAGTTTTGCTGTAAATATATTGGGGATACCTTTATATTGGTGAGGAATGAGTTCCTTTTAAGCCAGAATAATGGTGAAGAGCTTCAACTCTTAATAAATAAACAAAACCAAACAAATGGGAATATGTTCACCTTAGGTAGGGTTTTGGCAGGTTTGCAATGGTGTCCTCCAATGAAATCAAAATTTGGTAAGAGTGGGTGAGGAAAATCAAAATCCCAATAAGTTCGAATAAGCCACATATCAGCTTTCTTCATTGTCTCATAGAACGTAGTGGGTCTGCCTGAAGGAGAGAAAAAGAAATTAAAAGATAGATGACACAAGAGAGTTGTCATGAGAATATAAAAATAATTTCCTGAAAGGAGCTGGAATAATGTAGCCAAAGATATATAAAGTGTTTGTGCTTTGATAAAACAAACATATACACATATTGATATATAGGCATGATTTAATTCCCATGTACTATATATGTTGGACATAGGTTTGTATAAGAAAAGCAAAGTGCTAAGAGAATTTTTAGATGAGACTATGTCTCTAAGATCACATCAGTATACTCACAATCATCAGTAATTATTAATATAAGCCACTTTTGAATTACCCATGCATTTGCTTATTTTCTAATGTTACTGTACTAACAAATATACATTTACACATATCTTTGAGCTCTGCTGTCAATTAATCCTACAAAATCCATAAAAAACTTCATTGTAATAAGTACTGAATACAGTTTCAACAGTTTATGAAGGTAGTCACATGATTCTTGGTTCTCCAAGTCTATAAAGAGTTTTTCTGAAAATATGGTTGAAATCCTTGTACCTACTATTTCTTTGGGTTCATGGGAAGATCTTAATAATATTAGTATTTTAATAATAAATATATAATATTTAAACATGGAAGCTAGAATTTTTAAAAAATTATAGCAATGTATAGAATTTTCTACCTCTTCAGCTGGCTCTTATTTTACTTAATGTAGACATAAAATTTAATAAAATGTAGACACAAACTTGGATGTTCACCAGTCAGTAAGATTTTAGGCTTTAAAACAGATAATCTCCAAGGCCTTAGTGAAGGAACGTAGAAATGTTAGAAACCTCAAATTTTAGTTGTTTGTTTCTGAGATAGACCTGTCTCTGAACTGTGAAGGAATTCTTTTGGTTATGTAGAAAAAATATTTTAATTTCTAGATAAGGAAATTAAGGTACACAAGGAGAAACAACTTCCTCAATGTTACGTTGATGGTTGTGCTAGAACAATGTTTAACTGCTCAATCTACACATCTGCCTTCATCAAGATGTTTCTTGATGTGTCCATTAACTTTTATTAGGGATGAAGAAAATGCATAATAAAGTAGATACTAGATTGCTTAAAGAAAAACTAAGTGCTTTAATTTCAACATTTATGACTTCACGAATGTACTGTAGAAGTAGTGGCCACAAGGTTTTAACTGATCCTATAATTTTTCCATAATATTTGTGAAATTGATGTATCATCTTATATTTTCATTTCATAATTGCATTTACAAAACATACACTCGTCTGATTGATAGTCATACAAGCTCATCTTCCAAGGCATAAGGAAAGATAGAAATTAATAACCACCAATTAAAAACACGACTTACCTAGTACTTCGCTGTAGAACTGATCCCACTTCTTCATATTAAATGTTTCGAACCAAAAATCAAAATAAAGCATATAAATCAAATTCTTTACCCTCTCCATGAATGTCATTTGATCACTTAATTCTGACATAGCTACAGGTACATAGGAAGGAGGGAGTAGAAGTCCTCCACCATACTTCTCAAATGTGTAGCCAGGAGAGAAGCGGAGACTATACACCATGGGTGTTTGAAGTATCTCAGCCAGGAGCTCCCCACAGGGACCAATGGCATCTGCAAGAACCACATCAAACTTTGACTCTTGCAGCCTTGTCATAAATTTCTTGTTTGAAACTGCATCTTTACAGAACTTTATCATAATTTCAGAAAATGTCCACATGATTTCTTGTACTTGTGAAAAATATGACCAAAATGTAGCTTTTGGAAGATCATATGTCCATTTATGGACCAGTTGAATGGCAACATCTTCAAAATCACTTTTAGTTAAAGATGTAGGAAAAGCTTCAAATTTAATGCTGGCTGCTTTTTTCGGATCAATGAGAATGGAAGCAGAATGTGTCAGTACAGTCACCTCGTGTCCTCTCTGGACAAGTTCATCCAGGATTGTCTTCATATTCATCCAGTGGCTGTATTCCGTGGGCCACACCAGCACTTTCCCACAAGTCCCAGAGCTAAAGTAATCACTCAGTTGTATCAGCAGAAGAGCTGAAGCCAATTTCACAGCCATCTTGGTGAAATGTAATGCTTTTTATTCCAGCTGCTGGTCTTTTCTGTCAATTCTCATGCTTATAATCAAGGATAAATCAATCAAGTTAAAATTTAACTCATATACTTAAAAGTAAATACATTATTTGAACAATGTGAGCATGTGGTTTATAAGTGGACAAGTCAAAGATAGATTCCCTCTTATTTACTCAAGTATGTTTAATGTCCCTTTCATGTTTATAAGTGCTATAATCCAGCTAATTTTGATGACCTGGCCATGTGCAAGTAATCTGTGTTATGTAATATATGTTAGAGTACTGTCAAAAATAGTGGCAAGAGAGAGGCTCCTGGGTCTGCCATCCCTTGACACAGAACTAGAAATAAAGTAGTTATACAGCCGAGTCAGTATTTCTTGTATATCATGGTTCCAAGATTTTTTTTTGTAACTTTGTTGATATGTAACGTATATACCACATGATTAACCAATAATTGATTAAAATTAAATGTTTCATAAGACACTCAAAGAACTGCGCATCTACTACAACAAATAGTTTTATGACTTTAAAAGAATCCCTGTGCACTGTAGCTTTTAATCTTTCCACCCTGCATTTCTCCATCCCCCCTGCCCTAGCAACCAATAATCTAATATCTGTGTCTATAAATTTTCTTTTTCTGTACAATTCGATAAGTGGAATCATAAATTATGTGATCCTTGATGAGTTGCATTTTCACTTAGCATAATGTTTAAAAAGGGTCATCCATGGTATTCCTTATATAGGGACTTCATTCCTTTTTATTGCCAAATAGGATTGTATCATGTGGATATATACATTTTATTTATTCATTCATCGATTAATAGACATTGATTTTGTTCAATTTTGGCTTTTATGAAAGCCAAAAGTTATTTATTAACATGCATGAATGTTATTTATTGTCATTTATTGTTTACATCATTATAATGTTGATTGTTTATCATCATTCATGTACAAGCTTTGTATGGACCTATTTTGATTTCTTTTGGGTATATGCCTAGAAGTAGAATTACTGGGTCATATGTGACCTGTATGTTTATCATTTTGAGGAATTGCTAGACTGTTTTCCACAATGGTTGCACCATTTTCCATTCCCACCAGCAATGTATGAGGGTTTCAATTTCTCCACATCTTTGCAAACACTTTTAATTATGTATCTTTTGATTATAGCCAGTGGGAGTAAAGTGATATCTCATTATGTTTTACATTTCCTTATTTTCTAAAGGTGTTGAGACTTTTTTCTTGTGCTTATCAGCTATTGTATACATTTCTTGGCAGAAATTTTTATTCAGATCTTTAGCCCATTTTTGTTTTCTTTTTTTTTTTTTTGGTTTTTTTTTTTCAATTTTTTTTTGATAATTGTCCCTCATTAGACACATAATTTTCAAATATATTGTTTAGTTCTGGTGTTTTCTTTTCACTTTCTTGATGGTGTTCTTTGAAGCACAGAAGTGCTAATTTTGATGAAGTCCAATTTCGTCAATTTTAATTTGGTTGCTTTTGCTTTTGGTGTTATATCTAAGAAATTAATAGCAAATCCAAGATCACAAAGATTAATCTCTATGTTTTACTTTTAGAGTTGTATAGTTTTAGCCCTTAGACTTAAATTTTTTATCTATTTTGAGTTAATTTTTCTAAATGATTTGAAGTAGGAGGTCAAATTTTATTTTTTGTATGCGGATAATCTGCTTTCCCAACAGCATTTGTTAAATAATGTGCTCATATTCCATTAAATGATTTCATCACTATTGCCAAAAGCCAGAAATGTGAGCGGGCCTGGTGGCTGAGGCCTATAATCTCAGTACTTTGGGAGGCCAAGGCAGGAGGGTCACTTGAGACCAGAATGTCCAGACCAGACTGGGATACATAGTGAAATCATGTATGCAGAAAACAAACAAAAAATTAGCCAAGTGTGGTGGCATGAACTTGTAGTCTTAGCTGCTTGGTAGGCTGAGGTGCGAGGATGGCGTGAGTCCAGGAGTTGGAGTCCAGGTTACCCAACATTTGGGTGTTTGATTATTAAGTGTCCTGAGTTACTCTTATTTGGATTAAATCTGCTTGGTGTTCTATGACCTTCTTGTACCTGAATATTGATATATTTCTTTAGGTTTG